GGCAGATTATCTGTAACAAGGACAAAAGAAAGAAACACAGATCTTCAGCTGAGTGGACAATGCATGTGTCTCTATAAAGACGACAGAGAAAGACAGAGAAGATGGCACCAATGAAACCACCGCAGTAGAGTTTCCACTCTGCCAGGAGTCACAGTTTGATTGGAGGATGTGATATTAGTGGAGGATTTAATTGACACTATGCCAGTCTCCTTACCCACTGTGGACGTGGTGGGGGCTGTTGTTGGTGCAATACACACAGTGTTACTGGATTCAACCTCCATCTTTGACGTTTGTGTTCCACTGGATGACGTGCAGTGATTGAATATGAAGCCTATGAACAAACAAACAGATAATTTATGAACAGATGTACAGAGTGATCATAGTCATCAATATTACAATTTTCAAGTATCTCTTTCTTCATATTCTTGCTCACCACAAACACTACTGACGTGATTCCTGACAGAACAGGCCAGATATCCTGAGATGTTTGCATTCAGAGTGATGTTTTCAGCTTCAGTATTTCCAGAGAGGAGTTCGTCGTCTGTCAGTTCACGTCCACCCAGAGTCCAGCTGTACTGAGGACTGTCTCCTCCCACAGAGGAGCAGGACATCCTCATCTGTCCCTGGGACAGACACTCAGAGACCAGCCGCACAGAGGACACAGGAGCTGAGAGAAACACACACACAGGACTTTGGGTGTTTGTAATATTATCATGTACATATTGTCAATAGAAAGCAAGATTCAGATCTATCAATACATCTGTGCAGGAAAGAAGTAATTTACCTTGAACAGACAAATGTAGAGTCCTTTCTGCTGTCTTCTCTCCATTTGAATTAAAGATTTCAAGTGTATATTCTCCACTGTCTGTCCTGCTCAGGTTACTGATCCTGAATGTTCCATTACTGGGAGTAAAGTCAGATCTGCTTGATATGGAATTAACTAGAACGTCATTCTTTCTGCCTATGAGTATTCTTGATGCATCCTTTCTCCATTGGTATCTCGGTATTTCTGAGGCAGTGTCCATCAGCTGGAGGACCACAGTTCCTCCCAAAGCTCCATAACACTGAGTTCCATTCACTCTAGCATCACAGTGAGTTTCCAAACCTGCAAATTTGAAGCATAAGTTTAAAACAGAAAGTGAACCACTGTAATCCGTCAAAGAATGATGATCAAACCCACAGACATCACAGCTTTCAGACCAGTTTGCAAATGTAAGTGTGACTGTAAATGGATTATTCTTACACTGTATCATTTCTACTTTAACTTAAGTAAGACATCTCAACATTTCTTAGAAAATCAGTTGCCTTCCCTGTAGAACCATGAAGAACCTAAGATAACAAATGATCTGTTTTAAGCCAATATGTATAAAATGATGAGCTCAAAACATTCATTTGGATTAGTGCTGCAGAAATAAAAACATGAGCTTTGAATACGTCGCTCAGAGCGGAGCAGCATTAAGTAGCTACAAGGAAGTGTTGGAACAATACTATATATGGTGTCATATCTGACTCTGTGATTCTGTTCATCCATTTTACACATTTCATACAACAGGAAATAGACTGAAGGCCAACATTAGTCTCTACAATTAAAACAACTGCAGAGTTACAGCATGGCTCATGTAGATAATGTTTCCCACTGACATTTACAGCTATGCTAGCGACTAGAAATACAGCAACAACAGATCCTCTTTTATGATTGTAACATTTTGCTTTAAGCTCAGTTTGCTTCAGACTGTACTTAAATATACAGTCAAAAACACAAAGAAATTGTCAGAGATTACACACACAGCAATGAAAACATGACTCCAGTAAAGAGCATTAGACTGTCTTATACTTCAGATATCTTTTAGAGAGGCTTCATATGCCAACTAATAAGCAAAACTTGTGACGTCATTTTAAAAATGAAGCGGGTAAACAAAAACAAAGTGAATACAACAATAATAACATCATCAGTTCAGAAAACTGAAAGAAATAAGCAAACATCGTGTTATATGTGTACTGTAACTGTATGTAGACTTGATGCTTGCCTTGTTTCTTGTTTCTTGTTTCTTGTTTATTAGGATCCCCATTAGCACCAGCATAAGCATCGGCTATTCTTCTCTAATATTATCAAATATTTAATTTTAAAACTTTTGCATAAACTGAAAACCTCTCCATGACGGACTCCAGTGTCAGAAACTACAATATTTCCTGTTGATCAAACAGAGAATTGTGGTNGTGGTTTGTGCGACAGCAAGGGCTTCAGCTTTCTTGCATTTCTTTCTCTTGCAGGTGAAAAAGATGGAAATCGCAGCTACTGAGAGAATGAACACTCCTGCTTGCAAACCACATACGAGCAGTGACTGATCTGTTCAGAGACACAGAAATCACATGTCAAGTTAGAGCCATGACAGGAGAGTTTCCACTTATTGTACCGTGGCTCAATTCTGCTGAGTCACACTTTGATTGAAGGATGTGACATTAAATCATTTGTGTTTCAGCGAAAAGTTTTCGTAAAAACAGTCAACACCATTTTTTATTCACATCACCCAGTATTTTTAAGTCAATGTGTGTTGAACTCTGCCTATCTTGTAGTGTACCAAGGAGCAGAACAACAGACACATTTCAAAGTAACACACAGAGAATCCAGAGATCCTTTCTCAAAGCTTTAAATTTAGTACAACATTTCAGAAGACAGCTAACCATGGTTTTTTTTACCAGGGCATGAGAGGCGGCAGGAGTCATTGTTTGCTTGCAATGAGAATAATCTGAAAAACTTTGTATTTTTGCCTGGACAATGGACTTATTTTCCCGGTGTAAATTAATTCGTTAGGTTCCTTTAGTGGCCGTTTGATTTGATTTTGTTTTATTTTTATTTTTAAAATTGTCTTTTTATTTTGATTATTCATCTCAGGACAAATAGCCACGACAATATCTGACTCTATGATTTTCTGCATCAGTTTTAAACATTTCTTATAAAACAACTGCAGAGTTACAGTGTGACTCATGTAGATAATGTTTCCTTCTGACATTTACAATGATGCTAAAGACTGAAAATACAGACTTGGATCAGATCTTTTCTGACCACAAAAACAGTTTGCTTTATGATCAGTTAGCTTTGGACTATACTAACAATGTAAACTAAACAAACGTTTGGTTTGGTGCTTTGCTTTTTCTTATGAGAACTGATGACCGCAATGCCAACAGCTAAGAAAATTAGCAGTGCTGTGAGCACTCTGCTTATTATCAGCTCAGATTATCTGTAACAAGGACAAAAGAAAGAAACACAGATCTTCAGCTGAGTGGACAATGCATGTGTCTCTATAAAGACGACAAAGAAAGACAGAGAAAATGGCACCAATGAAACCACTGCAGTAGAGTTTCCACTTACTGTACCATGGCTCATCTCTGCCAGGAGTCACAGTTTGATTGGAGGATGTGATATTAGTGGAGGGTTTAATTGACACTATGCCAGTCTCCTTACCCACTGTGGACGTGGTGGGAGTTGTTGTTGGTGTAATACACACAGTGTCACTGGATACAAGCTCCATCTTTGATATTTGTGTTCCATTGGATGACGTGCAGTGATTGAATATGAAGCCTATGAAGAAACAAACAGATAATTTATGAACAGATGTACATCGGATCACAGTAATCTGTTTTGTAACTGTCAAGTTATTTTTAGTCACGTCCACGCTCACCACAGACACCACTGACGTGATTCCTGACAGAGCAGACCAGATATCCTGAGATGTTTGCATTCAGAGTGATG